CAATAGTGAATTGAGAGGGGTCTATGTCTCTCTCACTCTCCCCCCCCCCCTCTCTCTCTCACTCACTCCCTCTCTCTTTTTCTCCCTCTCTCCGTCTCTTCTCTCCCTCCCTTCCTCTGTCTCTCTCTCTCTTTTTTACTCTCTCTCACTCTCTCCTTTTCTCCCTTTCCTCCTCCACCTCTCTCTTTCTCTCTTTTACTTCCCTTCCCTCTCTCACTCTTTCACTGCCTCATCCTCTCTCTCTTTCTCTCTCTCTCTGTGTCTCTATCTCTCCTTCTTGGCGAGTTGCTGCGAATTTGAAGGCCAAATTTCTCTCCGGCAGAAAGTTTCAAAGTAGCGAGGCTCAGGCGACGTGGATAGTAACTCCCATCTAGAATTATCTCTTTTTCTTGCATTACTTAAAAATAGCAGATGGAGAGAGAGAGAGAGAGAGAGAGAGAGAGAGAGAGAGAGAGAGAGAGAGAGAGAGAGAGAGAGAGAGAGAGAGAGAGAGAGGGAGAGAGAGAGAGAGAGAGAAAGAGAGAGAGAGAGAGAGAGAGAGAGAGAGACAGAGAGAGAGAGAGAGAGAGAGAGAGAGAGAGAGAGAGAGAGAGAGAGAGAGAGAGAGAAAGACAGAGAGAGAGAGAGAGAGAGAAAGAGAGAGAGAAAGAAAGAGAAATATATAAGAAGAGAGGGTTTTCTTATACCATGCGAATAATCGTATCTCTACATCCTCCTATTAAGACTAACAATAACACGGAAATATTGTGTTCTTTAGGAAGGTACTATAAGACCTTTACACGTAATGGACATGACAGTAACAAATTCAGTGGATAATAAGCGTCTCATTATCAGACATAAAACACCATCTTTGCGAGATCTACTTTAACGCATGTATATGGTAAAGCACAATAGACTATACCTGTTGCTTATTATCAAGAGTTTCTAATTTACTGTTTCGAATCTATAAATCACAATCATGCATTATCATAATATATTTTTTTTCTATCCTGCACTAAATGGACTGAAGATTAATATTTCGTTTTCATAAAGCTTGTCAATTCCAACAAATTTTCAGATTAATGTTCATTTTCCTTCCGGATATTAGGAGGAAATGTTATAATAAAACACCCACTGAACTGTGTCCATTTTACTACAAAAATATACATAGAGCCACATTGTTTTACATATATAATTTCACTGTACACTGGAAGAATTTAACGCTGGCTGACATCTCTGGCCATTGCAATACGGAACAAGAACCTCTTCTGTTGCAAATCCAATGCTCTAGGCTTGTGATATAGTTAAAAAAAAAATAATGATTAACAATAATAAGCTTGTGATATAACGAAGAAAAACATAAAGATGAATAATACTAGGTTTATGATACAATGAAAAAATAATGGTTAACAATAGCAGGGTTTTTTGATATAATGAAAAATATAGATTAATAATAAGAAGTTTGTGATATAATAAAAAAAATAATCATTAATAATACTAGGTTTGTGAAATAATGAAATGGGAAAGATTAATAACAATAGGTTTGTGATATAATAATAAAAATAATAATACTACGTGTATGACATAAAAAACTAATAATACTACGCTTGTTATAACGAAAAGATAAGAAGATTAATAACACCAGCGCGCGGAAAATACACATTTCTGAAAGCAAATCACAAGCACTGAGAACTGAATCATCATTTACCTTAAAAACTGCAATTTAATGACACAGAGACAAAGAAAGGTAGACCCTGCAGTCAGGCTTCAACAATAAATATGAATCTGGAAGATGAATCCGGACAAAACAGGCACAAGAAAGATTGTCCGAGCAAAAACAATGATAGAAAATAAAGTATATATATAATGTATGTATTTATATATTTATACATATATATATATATATACATATATATATATATATATATATATATATATATATATATATATATATATATATATATATATATATATATGTATGTATTTATATACTATATAATTTAATAGATGCTTAGTGCCGAGAGTGTATAAAAGAACTTGCAATACTCTTACAAAGCTCTTTAAATCCCCATAACACTCATCGATCAGTTCCACCTGTAAATCTGAGAGAAAAAAATACGAGAGCCACCATCATATATTCACAGAATATATAAGTGTGTACAGATACATATATATAGCACCAAGTCATGTCTTTGAAAAGGGAATAGTATATTTCTATATGGATATAAAAGCAATTATTCTAGCAAAGATTAATCATCTATACTGGCCATGTATAGCAGTAATATACTCTGTAACAGCCACAGTATATCAGAATATGACAGTATACACGTAAGTTCAGTCTTACCATCTGTATGACAGCGGAGCGAGTCTGTCATTGCACTTGATTATTCGAAATAAATTATTCCTATTAGCTGACAGACTAAATACATTCTTTTTAACATATATTATTTTGTGAATCAGTCTTCATCGATATTCACCATCGTCTTTTTAAATGCTTGAAAAAAACAAAAACAAAAAAAAA